TCTCTCATGTTTCTGCGAACAAAGACATCTCGACATAAGTTAGTCACCTAACTGCCTTTGGTGATCTAGGCCATGAAGTCCAATGTGTGATGTGTGAATCAGCAGGTTTAAATCAAAGGTGAATATGCTGCTAATTAAACTAGATTAATCTAAGAAAATAGAATGCCAATCAAAGCAACAAAATGGGGCCTTAGTTCACTGAATTTCCTCCTCTGACTGCAGCTGTAGTTTAACCCTTTGCTATTTGAGTTGCTACTTGTACAATCACTGAAGGGCACTTGGTTTCAGTCAACTTTGCCACCACCTGGAGGACAGTCTGGTGACACTGACTGGCAGAAGCCAGGTGAATAGGTTAGCAGAGGCCCTGTGAATTACCAGGGGGGCTTGGATTTTGCTCTCAGGCAGCTACAAAGTGCCTTGTAAGAAAGGGAATGTGTTAGGTAGGCTACAGCCCATCCTACCTCGCTTTGGTAGGAAAGATGGTCTGAAATGGTTTTCCAGCTCTGAATTTTAAGAGTCTGTACTGACTACAACTTCCAGTGATATTGCCATAACAAAAATTGTCTTTTTCTGCTTTTCATATTTCAATTTTATTAGCATAAACAACATTATTGATCCTGGCCTTTCATTTCACTTTGGCCCTGAAGCCAGAAAAGTGCATGACCATCAGACCTGCCACAGTGTGATTTTTAGGAAGGTTTTCGATCCTTTTCTCCTTTTTCCGGAAATGCTGTTACCTTAGTAAGGACAATTATAAACTCATTAAAATTAATTCATGGCTCCAGTGTGTTTTCCTTATTGGAAGAGATGACCAGAATGCTACTATCATACGTAAACTGCCATGCAAATAGCTATCCTAAAAAGCCATCCTTTACCTTGCTGCTGTACACAGGTAAATACACCTGCAATTAACGGCCTTTGTCTCTGGATAATGCTGAAGTACCCCCCACTGCTTCGGTAAAGGTATCTTCTGCTCATGCACACAGTAGTGAATAGGAGGAAAAGCTCCTGGTACAGCGATGAAGCCACGAGCCCTTCGCCAGTGGAAAAGCACTGAGCCTGTTTGGACTTTGGGCTTTTGAGATCACTGGGACCTTGGCTTACCAAAGGCTTACAAATCTGGTCAGATTTGTGCTACAGCCTGGCAACTGTTTATTGCCCGTTATCAGTGTTCATTAGCTCAACAAGATTTAATTACTAGAGACTTTGCTGCAGAACCCTGCTTGCATTCATGCCCCATTTCCTCACAGCTAAGCTGAAAGGCTCCCAAACCACTCTTGCATTGCAGCCTGTGAGCTCCACTGGAAAAAGCCCGTTTAAAAACGTGAGAAATCCTATCTCCTCTTATCGCGGCCTTGAGCAGGGCTCCGCACAAATCCCTCCTGTCCTCCTTCGGCGGGACGCGGCCGTCCATCGCTCCTCACGGTCGCACAGGGCACGCGGGCTCCGGCCACCTCCTACGCCGTTTCTCCATCTCCCGCGTTCGCACAGCGCTGGCAGAGAGAGGGAAGAGAATTTAGAGCAGGCTAACGGGCGAGGCGCACGTAAAACCACCACCCGATGGGACAGCGTCCTAGCGCGTCGGGCATCCTCGCTGCAGGCCGAACTGGGGCACGACAGGGGCCCGAGAGGAGCCGCAGGGACAGCCCAGCCCAGCCCGACCGCCCGGGAGCAGCCACCCGCCGGTG